TAAAGTTCGATATGTACACTGCGCAAAAGGTTCAGCAACATTTGGCTCAAAATAGCTTTCGTTTCCTTAAGTGTATATATATATATAGAAACCATACGGATTAAATGTATGTATGTATACACAACATCTTTTGTTAAATCTTTATAAGATCTTCTTCAGTTCCGTGCTCTGCACATTAATTGACATAACTAAGACTTCCCATCAATATGAATCTATAAATCATATGAATTTCTTCAAATCTTTGCTCTCCCGCTTTTCTCTCAGTGTAGCTGATGCGCTTGCGATTTCGCTTCGATTAATTTTCGCATTAAGCTCGGCCACAGCTCCGCCCTGTTTTCTTTCATATATATATATATATATATATATATATATATATAGTTTTTGATTTAGTTGTGGGCGCGGTAATGAAATCAAATTAGGCAAGTGTGCGGCATGCCACAAGTGCCGCAAGTGCAACGAGTTGCAACGAAAAGCTCGCGTTCAGTTCCAGTTCCAGTTCAAGTTCGGAGCAGCTGTTAATTGATTTGGCATGGAATGCAGAGCGCACGCCGGTCTCAAGGATAATTGGGTACGAGGCTGCGGCCCGGCCAGATGGGCTGACTGTTGAGGGCGTATTGTCCTTGACTGTAGAGCCGAGGCACAACAACAACAACAACACACACACACACACGCCCGCACACACACCTGCAAACTCAAGGCTAATCATAAAACTCAATTGTTTGCAATTATGTGAAGTTTTTCTTCAGTTTATTTTTTTGTTTTTCTTTCTGCGCAAAGGATTAGAGCATGGAATGAAAAACAATTTGACATGCCACAACTGCATATGAAGGGCCTGCTGTAGGGCGGGGCAGGGTGCCGGGAGGTAGTGCTGGTATACGCACATGTTGCCAGTTTTTTGTGCAGCAATAAAATTGATATATCTAGTCTATGCAATATGCTTGCCACACGGCGCACACAGACACACACACACACACATGCGTACGTATCCTTTTGCGGCTTAGTTGCCGCATATTTTCCGAATTTTCCTTTGGCTGTTGCTGTTGTTTTTCCGACGCGCTTATTGGCCATTTAGCGCACGTAAGCGAAAAAAAAATAGTGCAATTTTGTGATATATAAAAACTAATGGCACAATATGACAACAACAACAAGGACAACAACAAATTGAGTCAAATCTGCGGCCTGCGACTTTGGCCATAATCCTGTCAAAGCGTAAACAAAAATTTCAGCTATTGAACAATTTCTGCTTTCTTCTTCTGTTTTTTATTTTTTTTTTCTTCTGGGGATTGGCTTTTTGGGATTAAATTGCGTGAGTGTCCAATTGAATGAATAGCTATCCAGCGAGCCGCAGCTTGTGGCACACATGCGATTGCAACAGATTGCGGCACGCGTTGCCAATGTAAACAGACTTTGATTTTAGCGCAAAAACAAAATACCAAAATATATCAATGCGATTTGTTAGCTACATGCATATGCAAACAGATATAAGTTGGCATTAATGCAAATTGTTTAACCAAAAAGTTCAAACTAAGCCGGAAATTTCATTTGAGGAGAGAGCTGGGCACGTGAAGAGAGGAGCTCGAACCCCCTTGAAGACAATATCTATATATCTATTTTCTTTTAATTGTAATTATAAACTGTGCTTTTTTGTATATACAAACAGAAGTTTTCCTATATTAATATGTTTGTTATCCAATCAAATTATTGAATATCTTATTAGCTTAAGAGCTCTCTCTTTTTGTTTTTATTTAGTTTCTTTTTTGTTTTTCTTCGCCCAAAAAAAAACTGCTCAAATTACGTAAATTAATCTAAAAACGCGCCCATTTGAACGTGATTAAATGAAACAAGTTCAATTTTTCAAATAGCCAGAAAACAGAAAATGCTCTTTAAAAAAGGCGCAGGAGTCGCGTTTTGGTAAGGGTATCGGGAACGGGAACGGGAACGGGAACGGGAAATGGGCATGGCCACAAAATATGGTGGTCTATGCAAATGAGTTGTCGGTCGTCAGGAAACAAATCATTGAAAAATTGTCACCGAACTTGCGACTCGCAATGCAAACAAAAACAAACAAACCAATGGAGGGAGCTGCTCTGCCCTACCCGATTGCCTACCCCTGCCCCAGACCTTGCCCCTGCTGCTGCTGCTGCCCGGCGACACCTACCCCCTGGCAAGGCCTGGGCCTGGGCCTGGGCCAGGTCCTGTCTCCGAGTCCTGCGGCCATTAGTCGCAACCACGAATCGCATGCAAATGAAACCGCAGCCGCTAAAGAAGACAAAACGAACAAGCGGGCGGGGGGTAGGGGTTTACAGAGAGAAAAAATATGTTACTCCTACTTTAGAGAATTTAACTTTTTTTTTTATAAGGAGAGAAAAGGAGCAGGCCTGATCACACTCAGAGAAAGACATTTCTTCCAGTTAAGAAATTCGATTTCGTTGAAAATAGAAAATTTTGTAATAGAAAATGTTCAAACTATCAAATTAATATATTCTTTAATTAATTACAAGGTTAAACTTATATTAGCTTTAGGCATTTTCTTTTTTAAAATTGAGATTTTACAGATTATTGTCAATATTTGAAGTAAAATTTCTTTAATTTAGAAACATTTTAGAAAGAAACCCATTAAATATTTGTTTGACTTTTTTTATATTTAAAACCTATTTATATATATATATATATATATATATATATATATATATATATATATATATATGGATTTATTCCTATATCCAGAGAAGATTGTCGTGAAAATAATAAATAAAATGTCTTAGAAAAAGTAAGTAAAAATTTTTGTTGATTTTCTAAGGTCCAAAACTTTCTTAATTTTATCCAAAAATATTGAAAAATATATTTCTTGATCAATGAAAGCGAATTTCTTCTTGTCTAGGCGAAATAGGGCTCATTTTTTCTGAGTGTACATTTGGGGTAGGGCGCCGCGCATCCTGTGCCCAGGACAAGCGTCGGGGCGCAGCTGACGAATTGTGAAAAAAAATTCATATATATATATACATATATATACGTGCGTATATAAAGATGGCTGTGTCCTCGGGCAGCCTGGGATCGACTTCTGCTATAATTTTCTGCTGCGTTCACACGCCATCGTCGCATTTTTTTTTTTTTTGTCTTTTCACTCTGCGTATTTTCATTTTGTTGTTGTTGTTGTTGCTTCTTTTGAGTAAACATTTAAATTAAAAACATTTACATATGCAGGGTGTGTGTGCGTGTGTGTGCGCGTGTGTGGGTTGCGCTGATATTCAATTATGATATTATTCAATTGAAGGGTGCGACAGTTTTTCAGATAAACGTCGTGAGTTGTGGAATTGGCTTTTTTTAGATGTCTGAACCCAAAAATGTTGCAAGAAATTTTTATAAAAATTCGAAATGTTTCTGATAAAGTTTACAACTAATAGAAAATTAAAATTTCTTTAAAAAAACACAATACTTTAATAAGTGGACATCTCATTCATGATTCAAAATGAAATATATGTAAGTTTGAGACTTTTTGAGAGTCTGAGAAGAAAAATGCAAAATATATGAATGGAAATGGAACCTTAATTTAAAAGTGTATATATAAAGTCTTGAGTGAATAAAAAACTCTGAAATAATTTCAGAATTGTTTAAAATTCTTCCTGTCAATCTTTCCACATGATAAACAGCTCATTTATCCAGCACTTTCCACTCAACGCTCAGCTAGACTCAACTCAACTCAACTCAACTCAACTACGCACAAAACTGACTCAAAGCGTGGAACGTGGTGGGTAACAAGTGAAACAGCGCGCAACGCAATGGCAATGAAACAAGGCAAACAAAAAATCACTCATGCACTCAGGGCAGAAAAAAATATTTGTAAATAGCCGACGAAATGTACAAAACACACCCCCTCCCAGACACACACACAAACACACACAGGCGCGCACACACACACGCGCACAAAAGCAACAACAACTAAACAGACCAACTGTCAACAGCCGAAAAAACAAAATGACGAATTTATGAACTTGTTTGCGCTCGCCAGAGCGAGACAACACGAGGTGCACGCAGCCACGCGCTCAATTGCTCTGGCCGCTGCGAACGCGCTCAGCGCTAGCAGCCATCTCGCTTGCACGCATGTCTGAGCGTTGGGCCGACGCGCGCGCGCCTCAGCTGAGAGTGTATGGGAATTTTGTGTTCGTATTGGAAAACTGAAAATGAGCATGAATTATGTGTCGACGACGTCGCTGTTCGCTGTCGCTGCATTGGAATGCTGCACATGCAGGCATATTGCCGACTCGCTCGCACGCCCATTGCTCGGAGCAGTTGTTGTTGCTGCTGCTGCTGCTGCTGCTGCTGCTGCGCTGCCTGTCTGTACGTCTCTTGCGGTTAACCGCTTTACGTTGCGTGTGAAGCTTACGTGAGCGCTTTCCCACAAAACTTTTTGGCGCTTTTGCGCGAGCTGCGTAAAACTGCGGCGCCCAGTGCTGTCAGGTATTTTGCGCTAGCCGCGCAGAGCCGGACAACTAGACAGCAGCAACAATAGCAACAGCAACAGCAAGTGCCTTAGACTCAGCCGCTCACACGTTAGTTCGTTAAGTTGTTTGTCGTAACGCGTCACGTAAGGGCGTTACGTGGTGTTGAAAACTTTTCGCCGTAAGAGATCGTCAGCTGTCCGTGTCCGTATCTGGGGCAGGGGCAGGGGCAGGGGCTGGGGCAGGGGCTCGCACTCGCACTTCGGCTTGTTGCGAATGCGTTTACATGGCAAAAAGCAAATCGCAGCCGCCACAAATTCATTCAATGGTCAGCTGTGCGACTGTAAAGCGGTTTTCACGGCAAAACGCAAAAACCCGAAAACGCCAAAAAAAAAACAACAAAACAACAAAAAATATATCGCGTAACGCGCGCCTCAATCAAACAACAAATTTAATGTAACTTTGACGCAGTTTTGCGCTTGTGTGAAATGTGCTAATTACAAGTTTTTCAATTTATACAACAAGGAAAATTTAGTTGAAAATTTAGACAAACAAATAAATATGCTTTTAAGCAATCAGCCGGCAAATGCCAAGCCACAGCCACAGCCGCCGTCGCCGACAGCGCCGCAAAGTTTCAAAGCCAAGTTGCAGCAACAAATCGCAACAGCAGCAGCTGCAGCTGCTGCAGCGGCAGCAGCAACAACTATTGCCAATGGCCACAGCAACAACAGCAACCATCATCAACAGCAACATCATCATCACCATCATCTGAACAATCATCATCATCAGCATAATATTTCCTTTGCCACGGATTTCTCAATTGCCGCGATTATGGCGCGCGGCGGAAACGCCTCGAGCAGCCGCGAGCCATCCGAAAGGAGTCTGAGTGAGTAGCAAAAGTAATTGAGACTTGCCAACTAGAGACTCCACAGACTCTAGCTGCATCTATATATAACCAAAGATATATATAAACAGATATATATATATATATATATATATATATATATAAATATATCTGCTTATTACAAGTTGTAAAACAGACAGAACTTAATGCGCAAGAGACTTGCTCTGTGTTCTCTTGACATTGCCAGGAGATCGAAGCGAATATTAGAGATTACATTTGCATGAACAATAGGAAAAACGCTGGTTCAAATTCCAGGCAGAGGGTGTGCCAGGCGAAGAGTAGGCTATTTATGAGTCAGGCTCTTTGCTTTTATTTAAAAAATAATTAATTATATTATCAGATGTATAAAGGGACATTGAAAGATGTTTTGAACAGTGAATTCAAGAGACTAAATATTTCTGAATAAAGAAAATGCTGGTTCAAATTCCAGTCAGAAGGTAGAAAAACTTCCCCACCATACACATACACAATTTGAGTTACAATATTATCAAATATTATTAATATCTTTAGCGTAGATATCTAAACAGATATCTATTAGAGATTAGATAATTCAGAGTAAAGCAAATGCTGGTTCAACTCCCAGTTAAAAAGTTTGCTGGGCATAGACTAGATGTCTTCATGGGTTGGTTAATTTATTTAGCTTAAAAAGTTCATAATAATATCAGATAAATACAAAGATATTCAATTATTTGGGATTATTTCCGATCAAAGTCCTAGTTTCAGGGCATAAATATGCAACTCGTAGTCGACAGCTATTCATTTAGTTTATTTTAGTTTCAAAATGGAAGTTTAGAATATTTCAATATAAATATAAAGCACCCAAGAGATTTCAGAAGAAACCGAATCCCAGCATTAACTTATTCACAAGATCCGAAAAAAGTCCTTTAATATTATATTACAACCTAAACGAATTTGTGGCAGTTGCTAAAGACTTTCCTATTGTCATATAAATAAAAACTCGGAAAAAAATGTCGTTTTAGATTCTAGTATATTTAGATTCAGAATTTAGTTCTTTAAAATTGCAAATACATTTGCTCTAAAAGCAATTGGTAAAAAAAAATATGAATCAAAAACAAATCAAATAGATTAAATTAAAAATATATAAAAGTGGCTGGAATTAGATACTTGATAATTAGTTAAGATAAGATAATTTATTTGTCGTAAGACAAATTTTATTAATTTAAGTAATCTATTAAAAGCTTGCATTTAGAAACTTCGATGTTCAAAGAAAAGTTTTTGAAGCAGCAAAGGTTCGCCTAGAACAGTTTTAGATTGGATGAGAGTATGGCCTGGCCTTTAATAATAAAGTATATATATATATATATAAGCAGAACGCGTGCTTCGTAATTAAATAAATTTAAGAATAATAGAACCCTTAGAAGTTCGAAAGACAAATAAAACAAAATTAAACAGCGTTTAGCAAAAAATTACAATCAAAAATCCGGTATAACTAATTTTTTAGCTGCTTCATAAATGATTTCTTTTTATTGCCATTTCAACGATTTCGAAGGTGTGAAAAGAGTTTTTAAAAATTGAATTTATGAAGAGTTCAGACATTTTGTGGCCATTTTTTATGAGACTTTTGTTGAAGTCAGCAGCTGCATAAAATAAATATTTAAATGAATTTGAACATTTGCAAAAGAACAATTCAAAAAATTAATCTTGAATACAATTTGGCATGCGATAAATGCCGTTATCTATAATCAAATTAATTCAGTTCATAAAAAGTCAACAAAAGTCTGTCTACAAAGAAAGTTTGTTGAAGCTAACAATATAAAGTGAAAAATGTTGTAAAATAGTTAAATCTTATAGATGCAAAGCAGAAAGGAAAAGAGTTCGCTCCAGCTTAAGGCAAACGCCTATGCATACGCCTATGTCATTTATTATTATTGCTTTTTTGTTTGTTGAAAAATATAAATTTGAACCAGCTGGCTAGTCCGAAGCTCAGCCATCTAAGCCGGGCAGTAGGCTCCAGCTTCGCTCACATTTTAGTGATATTTTATACGAGTTTTGAGCTGGAATTTTGAAAAATCACGTCTTACTCACGTTGAACCCAAGACAGCTTCGATCAAAAATTGTAGCTTTCACGATTTTTGGGGTTTAGCCCCAATTAGTTAGTGATTTAGTCAGGATAAACTCTTTTATATAAACAGAGTTAGTTAAAATATAAATAAATATATTTTATCCTTTTTTTTTTTTAAATATTTTTAAGAAGATTTTCATTGTTTTTAAAAAAGGCAGAGCATAAAACATAAATATTTTTTTTTTTTTTAAATATAATATTTAAAATTTTGGCTGCAAATATATTTTGCCAATATTCAAGTAAAATTATGAAGAGCATATTTCATAACGGGATTTATATAGTTCATATACTCTAAATAGACTTTTAATAAAAAATAGACATAGCTTAAAAAAATGCACCTTATTGAAGTATCGAGATGATGTTCCTCAATATAAAAGTTAATATAAGGAATAGGGACTTTTATTTAACTAGGCAATAATTGTCGATTAATAAAGCGAAAAATATATGAAAATACATACATTTAATTCAAAAATATATATTAAAATTGAAATTAAATATTTTACCATAATAATAACTATATTAAACTTTATCCATTTGACAAAGCGCGGCCTCTATATACGTAAAATACCCGTCATATTATGGCCAAAATTGCTAGCCAAATAAAATATTAAAAAAAAATTAATAATAACAATAATTATAATATTAGCTAATGATAATATTTATATATTAGTTAGTGCTTAAAGTGGCAGCCCATAAATTAGTTAATGATTATGTTAAAAGCTATCCGAGACTGAGGATTCCATTAGTTTAGTCTAGCTGCTGTAACTACGCCCTCTGACACCCACTTGGCCGTGCTTGCAGCTAAATGTTGCACACTTGCACATTAAAGTATTGTCTGTGTGTGTGTATGTGTGTGTATTTTTTTTCATCCCATAAATTGCATATTGATGACAATGCAACGTTGATGACTTGATAATTGCGGCAAATGCGCGGGCAATAAAATAATCAAAGCCTATTTGAATGCAAGCTGGCAATAGCGGGCTGGGTTTGGGGGGTGGCCAGTTGACAGAGATGGGGCGTGGCTGTGTGTGCTGCATGACATGACGAGCACGCACACTCAAACGCACACACACACAGGCACACACACAGGCACACACACAGGCACACACACATGTAAATGTATATGTAGATATTTATCGATTTATATGCATGCGCAAAACTATTTAGATGCCATAATTGGCCCCCCCTCTGGCCACCTACTGGCCCCTCTCTCCATTTGTCGAAACAAAATCCGTGCAACAACAACAACAACAACAATAAAAGCGGACAGCACAAATTAACATATGAAATCGCATTTGGGAGCGCTGAAAATAATTGAATTTTTGTTCGGCTATCTGCAAATTGCATCTGTGCGTCAGCATTTGTGTTGCATGCAACATGTTGTTGCCGCCTGCCAACTTAACAACTCTCTTTAAATGGCCTCTCTCTCTCTCTCTCTCTCTCTCGCTCTCTGGCAGGTCCCTTGTCTGTGGAGCGCTACTCGACGCAGGATGCGGACGATGATGTTGACGTTGACGTTGACGTGGTCGACTGCAGCGACAGCGAAACGCCAACGGCAGCAGCAGCAGCTGCCGCAGCAGCGGCGGCGGCGGCGACGGCAGCGGCGACAGCAGCAGCAGCAGCAGCCGCGCAGCAGCATGCGCGTCATGCATTGCGTGTTGCACAACAACAACAACAGCAGCAGCAGCAGCAGCAGCGACAGCAGCCGCATGCAACAGCCAACAAGCAGCGGCAACAACAACAACAACAACACAACAACAACAACAACAACAATCACAGCAAATCGAGCAGCCATCGAGGGCGTGCCACGGCCACACCAAGTGCCGCCGCTGTGGCAGGCAGCACGCCCTCGCCCCCGCCCCCGTCTCGTGGCGCGCACAGCCCCAGCGAAGATGAGCGCCTGTCGCCGGAGGAGCCCGCGCAGGTACGAACCAAACGCCACAAAGTTAGCACAAAACCAATTCGCGACGCACCTATGAAAAATGCATTTCCAACTAACACCCCTCCACCACCCCCCCTACAATTCCGCTCTCCTCTCTCTATGCCACACAGCTGCCGACGCCGAAAATTCTTGGCACATGCAACTGCGATGATCTCATGCCCGTGCAATGCCATCTGGAGACTAAGGAGCTGTGGGATAAATTTCACGAGCTCGGCACCGAAATGATCATCACCAAAACGGGCAGGTGAGCATATCTAAGGGGTAAAACCCCATAAGGACTGTCACACATAACCAGGCAGGTGTCTGGAAGGGAAGACTCCCATTAGAAGCTGGATTTTTAAAGAAGTTTTTAGCTTGTCCGTCTTGTGGGAGTATAAAAAGACACATTGTCTGATCTTTAGCAACAATTCTTTATTTATTCATAACTCATATATGTTAAGAAACTTCAATTTGATGTTGTAATATTAAGCATTCATACACATTTCTTTATCTGTGTATCTTACTCTCATTGTCTCTATTCTGTCTCTGCCTATGTATCTTACCCTCTTCATCTCTTTCTTCCTCTGTCTGTACTCTCTCCTAATTTTTCATATCTCTTTCTCTCTCTCTTTTCCTCTCACACATTCAGCAGAACATATAAGCTTTTCATTCCTTTTTGACGCCCATTCGTAAAAGTTTCACAGACTCTTCAGTTTCATTAAGAATACTCATTCCTGCATCTATAAACTTGCGTCTCTTTTTTTCACTGCTTATTTTCCTTAATTTTCATTTTCGCTTTGTGCCACATTCGCAAACGTTTCACTGGCTGCAGCACCGTTTAGCCTACAATTCGCACTCAACACAGCTACTCGTCTTTGTGTCTTTCTCTGTCTTTAGCTAATCTCTCATTTCGTTTAAGTTTCCAATTAGCTGCCTTCAGGCACATGTCGCCAGTGGCATAAAAACAATTCCAACCCATCAATCGACGCTAATCAGACACTCGAAAGCGTCGTCGCAAAAAAAAAAAAAAAAAACGAGAAAAAATAACAAAAACTCATGCTGAACTCAAACGCAAAACTTGAACAATCAATAAACTCGCAAACGCCTTTCACTCACTGGCCAGGGGGCGTGGCGGGGCGATGTATTAAACACAAGTGTTCACATTTACATTCACATTCACATTCCCATTTACATTCACGGCATTCGAGCGGCTCGTTTGAGAGTTAACTGCAAAATATCAGCAGCTTTTTGGTTAGTTTCTCATTACAAATGCCGCCACCTCCTCCTACCACACCTACCTGACCCCCCCGCCCCCCCTTGTACACTTCTGCCTGTTCCTGCCCCTAAAATTGATTGACAAGGCATCGAAATAATGTGCCGTCGATTTTCGATTTTCGATTAGCAAGAGGCCAAGCCCCAAAAAAAAGAGAAGGAAACAGACGGAAAAGAAATAAAGAAAAAAGGAGAAGCCAAAGGCAGAGGCAGCCAAACTGGCGGCCGTTTCTTGTCAGCTGTTTTGCAGCTAAAACTCACACACATCCACACACACACACACACTCACACAGGCACACACACACACAGTCGGCGTTTGCTTAAACGACTTTTCATTCGCAACTCAACAAAGTCGACTTCAAAAATTATTGCTTGACGATTTTCGTGCGAATGTCGTATAAAATGCGATATTCGAATGAATAGCATTAGCAGCAGCTAAATGCTCGACTACAGCATACCCTGCAAGTTTACTTTATACCTGCTAAACCAAAGCATGTCTTTAAAGAACTCTAAACATTTTTAAATATAATTTCATATTTCCCGATAGTTTAATTTGCAAATAATTAGCAATAGCACGAAGTTGATCGAATGAGCATACCCTGTATTTTTACTTTATAAATTAAAGCTTAGCCTTAAAATTGCCAAAATTTCCATAAATATAATTGAATATTGCCAGATTAGTCAGAATGCGAATGAATTAGAGCAACAAACAGTTGATCGACTACTGCATACCCTGTATTAATGCTTAAAATCAACTCAATGCAAGTCTATTCCAACTTTCTTGATCAATTTTAAAGTTAAGTAGATAAGAAAAGCAGCACGAGTCAAACATACCCTGTCCAGTTAATATTTTTTAAATATTTTCAATATAATTAAAAATCAAAGGCCAATTGAATTAATGAAAATAATATTGAGTAATATAAAGACTTACCTGCATAATTATATAAGTTCAAGCGATCTTATCGAAATATGCCGGATGAAGCTGTAAGAAGAAAACGATTTTTGGATAGTTTAGTTATATATTACAATAGTAAGATAGCAGGATATAGAGCGAGTTAAGCAATTGAGCAATTGTATTATGCATATTTTCAGCTATTTTCAATGTGCATAGGGTATACTTAGGACAAAGGAAAGTTATGCGACAGTTTGGCATGCCGAACTAGTTCTTTTATAAAACAAATCTATAATTATAACACGCTGCAATGGGATGTGAAATACTAACACAGATACGTGTATATACCCCTCTGCTGACATTTGATTTACAGGGTATGCATGCATGTAACATAAATTTCAGCCGCGTTGCGTTTGTTGCTTTTCGAGTCTCAGTTCTTATGCTGATGACATGCGAAATGCGCATTAGTCTCTAGCTGGTAGTTAGGAGCTGAATATGCTTTCTTCTTCTGCTTCTTCTCGTTTTTTTTTTTCGGTATTTTTTTCCGGCATTCAGTTTGCGTGTATGTGTATTGTGCTTGGCAACTTTTGTTTGTTTGGGTTTGTTGTGCTGTTAACCCCTTTTCACCGTGTTTGTACCTGGCAGAGGACACCCGTCCCCTGTGCCCCTGCCAACCTGCCCACACTCTGTGCGCATTTGCGACACATTAACAAATTTACTCCTTTCGCTGGCTTGCCATTCGTCCTGGCTGGCAGTCAGAGCTCCTGACAGCGCCACAAAGTATAAATTGCAATGTAATAGCTGCCGATTGTCGCGCTAACAACACATTTGCATGTTCTTTGGCTTTACGATTTGTGTTTTGTTTTGTTTTTTGTTTTTTTTTGTATTTTTTCGTATTCGACTGCGACTCCTGTCGCCGTGTATAGCTGCTCTGCCCTGTAATTAGCACAAAGGACCCCAATGCCGCATTGTTTATTTACATTTGTGCGGGCTGGCCAAAGCGCCAAGGCATTGCCCCTTGCCTGATATGCATCTATGTCAGCACATCGTTTGGCTGCCAGCAGCCGCTGCGAAATGCCCTTCACAATTGCAGGCTCTGTTCTGTTTGAGTGATATCTTTTAAATTGCTTAAATATATGCCAAATCGAGTTGGACATATCGTGACACGATACCAACAGCAACAGCAGCAACAGCAGCAACACCAGCAGCTGTTTTATGAATGCTTTCAAGCTGTGTTAATTACGGAAGCTAATGATATATTTTAGAGGAAAATAGTAAATGTGCCTGGTAGGTTTTGTCAGCGGGTTCTATATATAACATGAAGATAGCGAGGCGTGCTTGCATGTGCCATACATCTTTAAACACGCATATTCGTGGCACAAAAAGAGTTAATTTGGTTTTCATTAAGCTATCTTTGTAAGCTGCTGACAAAATTTACAAGCCACATTCAATGCATTGGCCAACATTTACAAGACACACTTAACGCAGAACTTAATTTTGTTTACTTCTTGTGACCTTTTTAATCGGCTGTCAAAATTTGTGTATGTACTGAATGTGTATGCATAGACAAACCCCTTCTCTGAAACTCAAACAACTCTCGAGCGTCGCAGAAGAGAGAAGCAAGTGGGACTGCGTGGAAAAAAAGTGTTGCCAAAACATGCAAATGCGCAGGCGTAGAGCACATCAAAAGTGAGCACAACGCAACCAAAATCGAAAAGAGTCTGGCAAAATGATTTATGATTTATGAGCAAGACCAAGAAAGAAAAAGGATCGGGCCTTTATAGAGAGTTTTACCTGTTGCCAGCGGTCGAGCGAATTGTTCGAGCTCTTGTTGCGGTCATTGAGTTAAAATGTCACGTGGTTTTTGTGGATTTTGTCACGCTGTCAGCGGTTAACAAAAACCAGCGGCAATTGGCGGTTGCAATGAGAGAGAGAAAAACTCGCAGGCGGCCTAATTGTCTCGGCCAAGCAGCGGGCGGCAGACCCAAAGGTCCAGAGTTAGCTGAGATGAGCGGAGTACGAGAGGTACCAGAGGTACGGCCGGCAGCGGGTAGTCAAGAAATGTTTGTCAATATTTTAGCGACAACTCTTCACGCTTGTTAGGTAATTGTTTTTATTCTCCGCAGTTTTGGTTCCGCACAGTTCAAGCCGTGCGGACAGTAGCCCCTTGGCCAAGGCGCGTAGCAATTGCAATTTTCATGCTTTTCTGCAGCGTACACACACCAAAAATGTGGCTACAAACTCACCTCAAGCTAACCTGGGCCGCTCGACAATTTATTAATTTTAAACAATTCTCGTACAACTTCATTAATATTTTATTGTCTGTGGCAGCCTGGCAGCTGAACTATGTGAGGGAACATTTATCATTCGGCCGAGGACAATAATGAAACAAGTTAATCGCCTACAGAAAGGTGCAGGATCTGTGGCCATTCAGAGTAGTCCACACATTTGGATCGGGGGCAGTTTATAGCTTAATCAATGCACTGAGAGAAATTTATAATAATTTATAATAACTGACTAAACATTATTGATATTTATATTCATATTGGCATTTTTTTTAAGTGTTGATGTAAATCTAGATTTTTTCAAACACAAATAGACTTAAAGCAAGTTTAAGTCACAATCTAATATATATTTATATTTTTCATTTATCAAAATATGCTCACTTACAAATTCATTTCTCAGAGTGTAAAATTGTCAAGTCTTTTGCCTAGGCTGTTTTTGCTAAGTGTTTGTAACTACCAAATTATGAATTAATTAAATAATAAAAGTGAGTGAAAGAGAAATAAATAAGAGGGAGATAGAGAGAGCGAGAGGGACATATATATAAAGAGAGAGAGAGAGAGCGCTGTAAATGAGCTGCGCTTCATATATTTTTACAAGCAGCGATAAAGATCGCCCAGTTTTAGTCAGGTTAGCTGCAACTGGGGGTTGCTTTAAGCGCTTGAGAAGAACGGCCAACAAAATTAGCATTTAGTTGCATTTATTAACTCAAAGCTGCCGGCTTAATTTGCTGGAACTAAGGTGTTGATAATGAATTCGTATGGTTCCCGGGGCGGAAGTGCGGATAAGTTGCGGCTCATATGGCCCCGGGCGGTTAGAGAAGAGCCCTCTAATTGGGCGTGAGTGCGAGAGAGAGGGAGAGCGCGAGCTGAGGGGGGGGGGGGGGGGGGGGAGGGGGTCTACCTTGGTCAAGCCAGCTAATTGAAAGTGTGGACCCCAACGTGTAGGGTATCGCAGCTAACCCTCTATGGCAAATGGTGTGTAAACTTCCTAATTGTAACCTTTGGCACCTAAAGCCAACCAGTCTGGGAAATGAGTGAAAGCCCTTTCCCTAATTTTCCCATAAACAAATACATAAAATCCACACTTGGACGCATAGAGCAAAATAATAATAATGCAGGGCAAGAGCAAAAAATAATAATAATAAAAAAAAAAAGCGACAACAACAACAAGCAAATACGTGTGTATATAAAACGGTGCCACGCCCACCACACCACAACGTCCGTACAGTAGACGTGGGCGTTTTGGGCAGGGCCCGCAGGCGGCAGCAGTTGCCGCTGAGTTGGCTCATAAAAATGTATGTAAATGTTGGAAATATGATTTACGACATTTCCGCTAGTAAAAGAAGGGCGACTGCCGCGGGGATGAGAAAGGGGAGAAATAGAAAGGAGGGGGCGGCTTTGGGTTTGTATTAGCTGCTGCTGGGCGTGGCAGCGTTGCGTTTGGCATTTTCACACATTTATGGACACATTAGCAAGCTATCAAAAGTGTTTGAAATTCTTCTCAACACTGGCTGTTGATTTCTGCTCGCAATTGGATTTGTGGCCAGAGTTGCCAGCACGTCAGGCTCGAGTGCAGTTGCCAGTAGCAAAGATGGCAACTCCGCGATAAGCTGCCCCCTACAATGGTGCTAATTGTGGCATGCAACCGGCAACTGGCAACTGCCACAGCAATGACAGTTATTACTTGCGCAAATATACACGTGTGCGTTGGCAACCCTGGCCACAACATGCGCCCAGCATGGCGGCCAAGTGCACCAGACACGCCCACACGCCCACCCGTTACGCGGGCGCAACCAAATGAATCCATCTGCAGACATACATATGTATCTGTATCTATCTGTATGTACTCGGCGCAATTTATGGTTGACATTATAACAGAAAATTATTAACAATTAGACGACGTACTGCACGATTTGTATTGGCATAGACAGCTGACGAACGGCTCGGGCTGTGATTTATTGCTTTCATTGGAAATGTGTATTATCTGTGCATTTAAGTATAGTTTAATACCAAGCCCTACTCACAGCTAGCACAGCCAAGCCCACGGCAATGCCATAGCTGGCGCTTCGATCCAGAAACTTGTTTGTTGAGTTTGCGCTTTCTTGCTTTATATTAACTCTCAATCACTTGAACATTATTTGATATTGCTTTTGATATGTATCACAAGCAAAAAGCCTAAGACTTGTACAATAATATATCCAAACATTAGCTGGGTATTAGAACCCGAAGCGGGGTCTGTCATTTTCATACTCCTGTAGAGGGCGGAAACCTTTTTTATAAGAGTAAGAATCTTATCGAAACTCGGCATATATGAGTCTTACGATGCTCCTTATATATGAGGAATATATTATTGCAATACTAGATATAGATATAGGTTTTAGGAAGAAAAAGAGGTATATAAAGAATAAAATTGCAACCAGGCATTCCATCATTTTATCCCTTCCACATAATCAAAAATGAAAATTGACGCCTGAATCCAACTTTTATTATTTATTTAGTATTCATGAAGCTTAGCCTAAGACCCAATATTTTCTCCTAAATTATAAGGCTTTACAAGTTCTGATAGCAATATAGTTTCCCAAATATCTTTTTCGTAGTTAACCAAAAATTATATTTATATTTCTATTGTTAATTAGTGGATTATTATGACAAATGTTGCAACATTCATTCACAACTCAACTAAAAGCCACAACCTGCACACACACACACACGCACACACACACACACACACAGTCAGGTAGGCATAAAAAAACAATAGGGCAACCAGAAGACAAATGACAAAAGAACTGGGCTGGGTCATTAGCGTCATTTACACTTAGCTGGCCGCAACTGCGAGTCGACTCGACTCGAGTTGAGTCGAGTTGAGTTGTTGTGGTTTGTCAGGGTGTTGGGGGTTGCGGGTTGGGGATCTTGGGGGTGGCTACTTCGTCGCGGAAATGTGTCAAAAACGTGCTAAAAGTCATAAAATTAAATATGCGTCTTATTTACATACAACCACCGCGGGGCACAATGGCGGGCAATAAAAAAAGGAGCTGGAACAGAAACAGGACACATAAAACTGTAGCGCAGTTTTCCACATTTTCTTGGGGCATGCAACATTCTGGTTCCCGTTCATTTGTAGATTTAATTTTCAGCATTTGGCTTTTTGGTCTACTTTTAGGCGCATGTTCCCCACGGTGCGTGTGAGTTTCTCGGGCCCGCTGCGTCAAATCCAACCGCCGGATCGCTATGCCGTCCTGCTGGACATTGTGCCGCTGGACTCGAGACGGTATCGGTATGCGTATCATCGCAGCTCCTGGCTGGTGGCCGGCAAGGCGGATCCGCCGCCTCCGGCACGCATCTATGCGCATCCCGACAGCCCCTTGAGCCCGGAGGCGTTGCGCAAACAAGTCGTCTCCTTCGAGAAGGTGAAGCTGACAAATAACGAAATGGATAAGAGCGGACAGGTGAGCACAACTGCGGGTGTGTGTGTGGGTGTGTGTGTGCGGGTCAAAGGCTGACTGCAAAGAACGTCGACTGCAGCAGAGAGAGAGAGAGAGAGAGAGAGAGAGAGAGAGAGAGAGAGAGAGAGAGAGAGAGAGAGAGAGAGCATTACCACAATGTTAAGCGATAGCTCTACGAATCGATGGTTCACAATAAAAGTTGTGAACATGTTTGAATAGAGGGTGGAATTCCAGAGAGCAAACGTGCTTATTCCTATATAAAATCGACTACAAGTACTAAATATTCGTTAAGAAGAATGCCTGAATAAATTAAGAAAGAGACTGTGAAAACTTTAGACAAGTCACAAAAACAGTTTGGTTTTGGCCCAAAATTTTGAAATCCTCTTTTAAAAAAGGATCTAAAGCGATTTTCTCAATTTTTTTTTTTGAAGAAAAGTGTTTAATTCGCACAAAACCCCTTCTACCCAATTTTCAATTCAGGTTCAGGGTATAGAAACAGGTCGGTTATAATTCTTCTATTACAAAGAAGTACATTTTGTCGCAGACAATTTATTCGAATTGTTTACTTTGCTGAACACCTAAAATATCTAAATAATATCTATCAGAATATACACTTACTATTCGCACTACAGTGCAGCCAAATAGTATGCCTACATTTTGAAGGCAAAGCAAAGAAGCCGCGAAAATTCGTAGCTATTATCAGGCAGCAGTTCCTTAAGCATCCTGGCCAACAAAAACATATATGAATAATTTAGGCAAGACAAAAGACATAAAAACCGCGGCGACTGGGTTGCCATTGTGTGAAGGGTTCAGAGAGAGAGAGAGAGAGAGAGAGAGAGAGAGAGAGAGTGAGAAGGAGAGAGAGATAGTGCCTGTCATACAGCCGGCATATGCAAATTCCAAAAAATGAATGAAAATTGTTGGCAATTTGGTGGCAAATGCAAAAGCCGCGTCCAAGGCAAGCTTCCCCTATGCCTACCCCTATGTGCCCATATATATATATAGCTGTATACCTGCTGCTGGCCCTATATCATATATGCCTGGCCATATAACACGGCAAGTGGCGACGCTCTGTTTACGAGGCAGATACTTCTCTTCCTTTTTTTTATCGCTGCCATAAAGGATGCTGGCCCGGAAAAGCGTCAAAACAAACGCCGACTACTTTTTATAGTTGTAAATTTTTTATAAGAGCCCGCCGAGAAGTAAAAACCTGAGAAAAAATTTGTTTTTTTTTTTTTGCAGGTCGTGCTGAATTCAATGCATCGATATCAGCCACGCATCCATTTGGTGCGTCTGAGCCATGGCCAAAGCATACCCGGCAATCCCAAGGAGCTGCAGGATATGGATCATAAAACCTTCGTGTTCCCGGAGACTGTATTCACGGCCGTGACGGCCTATCAGAATCAATTGATTACAAAATTGAAAATCGATTCGAATCCGTTCGCCAAAGGATTTCGCGATTCGTCGCGTCTGACTGATTTTGATAGGTAAGTAAAAAAAAAACAACAAAACAGACAAACAGAACTATTTACAAGACTGCGGGCGGAGGCGACGGGTTTTGAGTGCTCGTTACGCAACTGCAAATAGTTGTTGACCCCCAGCAATTTTATGAGGCTCGTTTGCTGATTTATGAGCTCATTTACGATGAACCTCTGTCGCTTCGGTTAGCCGGAAAAATCGTACAGTAGCCCGAGCAACAGCCGTTGATTAGCAAAAATGTGTGAAAGTCTGCTGCAAATGCAATGGAAAATGTTGGCAACAAAATCAATTTCAATTAGCGACTCTTTAAAGTGGAGCAGCGGGTATTTGCGGCACAAAATTAAACAACTTTTCCGACAAAATAAAAACCAAATACATTTGTTGCTTGATTCCGTTGGAGACTTCAAAATTGTAGCCAAGTAGCATAGCATCTCCTCCTTGGAAGGACTTGCGAAAGAGTCCAGCCTTTTTGGTAGCTTAACATTTTTTAAGGAATTTATATTTTGCAATATTTGCTAAAATATTTGTTTATGTTTTTAGTTATTTATTCATATTACCCTTTTATAGGGTATTATAATTTTGTCATGAAATACGTTACGAAGAGAAGGAGACATCTCCGAGCTCATAAAGTAGATAGATTCCAGATCAACATCAACAGCCGAGTTGATGGATCGGACCCGATCGGACCATTTTATTATATAGCTGCAATCGAAACGATCAGCTATATATATATTTTTTTTGTAGTAATATATAATTAAGCTATTATATATTTCTTTGTAGTCTGTAAAGTCTTTTGCCAATTTAGGCCTGTATATAGATCTAAAATCTTTGTTCCTTAAAACCTCTGTTAAACTTGGTCTTAATACCCTTTCTTTTAGAATATTTCAATAGTGGAAACTTTAAAAAAAAACTTCAGGTTTAGATTTTCTTTGGTAAAATAATTGTTTAACAGCTTTCCAACATTAAATGTCCACTTGCAACTTCTGCCAGCAGCAACATGTTGCATGCAGCAAGCGCACAGGTTGCACAGGATTCCCAACAGCCCGCTGCAAAGGGAGCTGCCCTTTTAAAATATAATTTTTCTTTTTGTTTTCGACAGCGATGTTAAAAGTGTTGCAAGGCGGCGGCTACGTGTGCTATTAAGACAGCAAACGCAGACCAGCAGCCAGCAGCAGCAGCAACATGGACAACAGCAACATGGGCAGCAGCAGCAGCAACAACAGCAACAACAACAACAATAAGAACAACATTGAATGTTTTAAGCCGGCACGGCGGCGTCTTAAGTGGCGTAAATTACAGATCGGCGCTTTTAACTTTGAAGCTGATTCGTACATGAAATGAAAACACGAAAATAATGAGTGAATGTTGTTGTTGTAGCCGCTGTTGTTGCTGTTGTTGTTGTTGCTGGCGTTGTTTAGTGTCGGCAATTGGCAGTTACTTTCAACGTAATTATGTTATTGCTCTTTGGCGTTGCCTCCGTGTTGCAGCAGCAAGAAGTTACCCATCTCTCCCTCACCCTCACTCTCTCTCTCTCTCTCTCTCTCTCGAACTTGGCCAACCTGCTCTTTCGCTCTTCTTGTTTCTTTTAGAGATCCGATGGACTCGTTCTTTTTCGATCAGCACATGCGCGCCGCACCGCTGCGCTTCTTTCCGGATCCGCTGATGGCGCAACTGACGCCGCAGGAGGCGGACGCCGCCTCGTTGGCGCTGCTGGAGAAGGCGCGACAGCATTTGCAGATGTTTGGCCGTTCGCCGTATACGGAAATGTTGCTGCCGCATTTGTATCAGCGCGCCGCGCCGCCCGCACCGCCGCCGCCGCCCACATCGCTGGGCGCCTTTCAGCTGGGCATGTGGCAGCAACAGTGGCCGCAGCTGACCGCCGGCTTTTTGGCCAGCGCCAATCAGCAGGCGGCATTTGCGGCCGCCGCAGCCGCGGCAGCTGGGGCCAGTCGCACGCCGCCGCCGCCGCAGTCGCAGTCGCAGTCGCAGTCGTTGCTGCATGCACCGCCAGCGCCTGCCACGCCCACATCATCATGCGGGTCAGCGTCGCCGGATTTGCGGATCAAGACGCAGCTGGGCCACTATCCGCAGCGCTTCAGTCCGTATCAGGTGCCGCAGCAGCAGCAGCAGCAGCCGCAAGCCGCCTCCTCGCCGGCGCCCTCGATGCGCGCGGAGAGTCCCTAAGTGCCCCCGCGCGGCCCACGCCGAGGGGCACAAGTGCGACCCCGAACGCAAGGAATATAATAATCAAATAAACTACACGAAATGTATGTGCAATGATCGAAAAATGTTTGTAAATAACCCCCCATCCCTGCCCAAACACTCCACACTCAAAGCTGTGTAGCTAAACATGTTGCAGCAACATGTGGCAGACACTCAACTTAGCAGCTCGTTTATGAGATGCAGCTGAGACGTGTCTAGAAATTTATTGGAATTTAATTGAAATTATCAAATCTTGCAAATATTTAGAAGAAATTAAATAACATTTTTTTTGAAGAAATCTTGTTGAGAAACTGAATGAAATAGTGAAAGAAAATGAATAAATATTATTGAAATATTAGAAAAATTCGAATTTCAAGCATTATGTGAATTTTTTTATGAAGTTGTGTAATAGCAACATTTTAAGTGTCAAGCATTCCACTGCCAAACAACATTTGTTCAATCATTTTATCCTGATAAAAAGTGTGCAATATATTAATACAATTTTAATATAGAATTTGTTGTAGAAGAAAAGAGTAAATAAATAAATAAATAAATAATCAGACTGCTTAAATTAAAATAATAAATAAAAAACTTATTCGGCTAAAGTATTAAAAATTAAATAAAATACAATATCCGATCTGTTTGTTTAAATAAACAAATATATTAAAAATAAATAATAACATTTAATAGCCAGGTTATCTACGGAAACTGAACTCAATAAAAAAGCAACTTATTTCTTAAAATCACATTAAAAAAAAAAAATACTGTCGAAAATTGTTAGGAAATTAAATATTTTTCTTATATCAGAATATATTCATGTTTAGATGAAATTGACCAAAAAAACTTTATAATGTACTTAAAAAAAATTTAAATTGATTTTTAGTTATATTTTTTGGCTAATTAAATTTTTGAATTAATTTTTTTTTCTGGTAAAAGTTAACAAAACAAAACAACAGAAACAATAATTCCAAAAAATATTGTCAAAATAAATTTTTGTTATTTTTATAACTTTTGAAAATCTTGAAAATTCCAATAAATTTCTAAACACATTGCAGCTGCTGCTCGTAAGCCTGATATAAATATAGTATTTATATGAATGTATATGTACTTAAAGTAGTTCGTAGTTTTAGCCGTGTAACAGTATTAGTTAATTTAATTAGGCTTAGAACTAGTGCAAAAATGTCGCTTGTGTTTCAGAACTTAACTCAAATTTTTTTGTTTCTTGTCTAAATGTTCCTAACTGCAAAAAAAATATATTGTAAAAAGTGCAAAGCTAATGTACACTTTTGGACACGCCCCCCTCCCACAGCCCCTAATGAAAACTGAAAATCAAAAACGAAAAAAAAGGAAACAAAATGCAAAACTATTTAAATTATGTGCAAAAATAATAATAAACAATTTATAACACAAAGGAGAAGATGAAAAAAGTGTTGTCCGTGGCGAGTTCAACATCTATCTCTAAACAATTAATAAATGATCATCATCATGATGATGATGTTGATGTTGTTAATGATGATGATGATGTGCAGTCGACAAAGAAACTGCAGCCGCACGTGATGCGCAGTCGCGCGTGGCAGAGCAACGCTTGCAGCAGAGGCAGCGGGGGCAGCAGGGGTTGCGGGGGCAGCGGGGGAAGCAGGGGCAGCAGGGTTGCCACTGACATTTATGCCGCGCCAAATGGAATATAATTTATAGAATTGTGTGCTCTTTATGAAAGTCTAATTAATTACAAGTCCCTGTTTTATACTCCTATCATATCATTTCCACTTTTCAAGTCATTTGTAGCCGCGCGGGGAGTGAGAGGGGGGGCTAGTCAATATAGTTAAAGGGTTGCCAGTTCGTTGTGCAGCGCATGCAATCAACGATGGAGATGCCAGAGAGAGAGAGAGAGAGAGAGAGAGAGAGAGACAGTCATGCTATGCAGCAGTGGCGGCAGCGGAAGGGGTAAGTAAGTATTCGATGTTGCAGTTGCAGTTGCACGCGACATGCGTCATCAATTTCTAATGATGTATGTCTTCAGCACGGACATTTGTTATTAATTGTTAATTGTTGTAGCTTTTGTGCGGACATTAGTTATTAATATTTTTTAATGCACTTTTTAATTAGTCACTAGCACAGATAAAGCACTAACAAATGCAGAGAAAAGCTACCAAGAATATGCTCTGAGGGGGGACTATTTATACATTGCATATAAATCTTTGAAATAGTAGCAAAATCACTTTGGATACAAAGTGAGCTAAGGTCTGTCGTGTCCCTCCTCTATGCCGGTCAGAAGGCTTTGCAGAAGAAAGCGTTTGACTCAACATCTAGTTTAACATTTCGATTTAAAATTTGAATTAACATATAACTTAACATTTGATTTAACAGTTCACCTTAACATTTCAATTTAACAGTTGAGGCAACATAGATTTTGTAATTTCGAACACAAAGAAAATTGTAGTGCTTTGTACATTGTGTGGATTTCCAAAGTATTTCTTGTATTTGCAAATGTTTCAATTTGTAACAATTACCATTTACATACATGTTACACTTACAGCATATTTAAAACTTGTGCTGTCAATCATGTATAATTACAAGGCACACACACACACACTCGCACACGCGCGCACAGCGTTGCCACACAAGCGCAAAAGGCCCTAGCATATGGTATATGGCCCGCATATGATAATAACTTAATTTTTATGCCCATAGGAAACGAAACAGAGGCGCGCAGAAAGAGAGAAAGAGAGAGAGAGGCGCGGCCTACTTCAGGCTTTTCGACGGCATATTTAAATATGGCTTACATAACAGCGAGTGTTTAGGGCTTACCTGACCTAACCGATAACTAACTAATAATTATACACTCACAGCTTACAATTATAAAATCATTTTTAAGCAACTAAACAACTTTCCAAATATCTTAATTAACCCTCGCAGGTTTTGAGCAGCCCCTGTCGACTTTTGCTATTGGAAGTATTGTGAGAAAGTGTCACATTTCTATTATGTATTCATGAGCAGCGTGTAAATTGGGTTCTTAACATTTTAATTATTGCCTGAAAGCATTTTAATTGCTTGGAATTCCGATTATTCGACTGTCCGAGCAATCATTATGTATTTATTGACATGTTTGGTTTCTATCCAATACCATTATTAATTATAATTCTACCATGGAACTTTATTGGTAAACAGAGCTTGGCTTGGCATGGTCTTTAGAAGTGAGTTGATGGGGTATACCCTAAATGATGGGACACCCTATACAAATTTAAAGGAATACATTACAACTTGGGTTATTTGGGGTGTATAAAATATATTTGCAATTTGTTCGAAGGCTTTAACAAAGTGTGTGGAAACATTTGGCCACATTTTAAAGATGATCTCCTTGTGTTTTCTCTAGGAGAATTCACATACCAAATTTACTGACTGCAGCTCCTAAAGACCCTGGATTCGATGGGGTTAGAGAAGATAACTCTTTCTAGCTGCTCGACACATTAAAGAACTGCCGGAATTTAGGCACGCTCAGACATATTTAAGCAAAATCTGATGGAATACGCGTAGACCTCACACCCCGAATGGTAGATAAATGTAGATTAGCTGCAATTTTCTCACTCACTGCGACAAAGTCGTACACAAATTATCTCGCCACTAAAAATTTGCCTAATTTCCAACATAAATATGAAGGAGAACTTATCAGAGGCGACCGATCTATGTATACCTCAAGCATATCTATGTAGCTGTCCGGGCAAAACGTCGGCAACCTTTTCTCTAGACTCTCTCGTGTTGTTGTTGTTGTTGTTGTTGACTAATTTTTGTGTGCTCTAAGCCTAAGCCTGGACACGGGGCGAGCAGTAGCTGGCGCGAGCTGGCATAAAAAATAACAAAACACCCTCAAAAAAACATGGAAATTGGTAGCCAAACCTGCCCAGGCGCTAACAAATTTATGTCTTCTTCAGGCTTAGACAACGCAAAAGGTGCCACTAAATTAGCTGAGCAAGAAAAAGGTATTCTTTTTTTTTGAGCGGCAAAGGCAGAGGTAAAGGTGCAGGCAAAGGTAAACGCCGCTCAGCTCATTACACACAATTTGCAGTTAGGTGCGAGCATATAAATTTTGTCTAGTCGGGTCGCCAGCTCGGGGAATATCCTTATCAAAATTATGCACACTTTTATCTAAATTATTATTTTGTATATCTTTTTTTCCGCCTTCTTTTTTTTTGGTGTAGGTGTGTTTGGGGCAGGTACCTTATAAATTGTATAAAGTGAAAGGGACTTCTTTTTTCGGTAAAAATTTCATTGTGAGCAAATAATTAATTTTTAAGTTCCGAAATCTGGTAAGTATTTGCTAAAGTGAGCATATGGATATTCTTGGGCTATACACCGCAAATGTATTAAAAGTATTCCATAGATCGTAAGAAAATAAATATATTACATAGATTATAAAGGCAATTTTACTTGCAATGTTAACAGGGAGGACGCGTCTATATTGAATGAATGTAGTATATCAGTACAAATAAAATATGCACAATATTATACAATAATATTATTAAGAGTCACACATGAGTAATAACTAATGGAAAATACTGGTAATAAAAATGGTTTTCATCATTTTCATTTCAGTATTTTATCTGAATATCCAATATGCCACCCCAGTAAAATACTCATATCGAATGCTTGGAATCAAAATATTTTCCAATATTCATTCATAAAAAATCTACAATCTATCTAAATTAAATACCACTCTTTAATAAAATATACCATCGCATTAAAATACCATGCCAGAGTCCGAAATTCTGTCACCTAAAGTATAGTACAGGTACTTTAAACAAGCCGTTTCACCTGACGAGCGCAACTGTGGACATTCTAATTGCCCCGCTTTGGTTCTTGTTTGTTTTTTCATTTTGTTTTTTTTTGTGGGCGTGGCATTCGCATTAGGCATG